TATAAACATAAACCAATTAAACCACTTGATATGATTATGCATTACTCCCAAACACAATAGAATGAACTTTAGAATTCAACAGACGAAGGTAACGGAACTAGCTTATAAGTTAACCTACACAGACCTGCAAACTTGACAAGACATGAGGGGTATGAGGATCAGTTTTAGCAAGTATTTTATCCACAACTTTAATCAGTCCAAACAGCAGTCAGGATAAAAGTTTAACATTTTGATATGTTCAAACTGACACATTTAGTGGTAGGACAACCAAACATTAAGTATAATTACCAGCTCATCTCTTGACTCTTTGCACTTTCGTTTTGAGATGCAAACAAATTAGTCACCTTTCTATTATATCAACATTCTCTCTGTCTAAGTTAGCCTAACATCAGTACATTCTATTTTCCTTCTTACTAAGAAAATATACCAACAGCAGTTAATAAGACGCATGATCTAGTTATTTCCTATCCATCATCAAGATTATCAAACAAATTCACCATTGAGAAAAAGAAACAATAAAATGCACAGTCTAATAGCTCAATTAAGTTTAAACCAATATCATGCCAGAGAAACTTACCTGTACGTGTATTAGATAGACAAGGCACTGATGTTGACGATGCAAATGCCTTCATAATTGTGTTCTCTGAATTTGCACTGAAACTTTGGACTTCTTTAGGACACTTAGAAGGCACAGACTCTGCTCTGCAATTGTATTGCTTTGGAGAAGTCTCAGGAGCCTTTTCTTCAGAGACTATGCATAGAAGCATTCACGTTAAACTCCAAGATTGAAACCAGAAACTCTACGTGTAAACAAGACAATCCAATAAATCCATACAGGCTGATCAACAAATAATAAATCCATACAGTAAAATCTGCATTGTCCACATTAGATTAGCCATTCCTCACTTAATGACTTTATAGGGGTTCAATACCTCTTGAATAAAAATCATCAGTTTAAAATTGTATTTCTTTATTTCCTTTTAATTCTCCTACTCATTTTTCTTTAGGAAAAGCAAAACAACTTAGACCATAAATTTGCCTTAAAAGTTTAAAAGTGCATCTATTTCAATTAACCTAAGTGCTCAATTCAAAACAAGAAAGTTGTGATACAGGAATAGGATACTGTAAAATAAGTAAAGTGTTTTGTCATGCTTGTCATTTCAAAATAAATAAAGGTTAGTACGAGCTAGCTACTACAGAAAAGAAAAAAATCAACAGAACTCAAGCACACGGACAAGAGCTTAGCCAAATTGATACCAACTAACTTCTTTTTCTGAGAAAGGTACCAACTAACTTCAAAACCTCAAGTATGGAGTGGAGCTCAGGGGTTTCAACCTCTGGAATAGCTAAGCACTAACTTCTTTGCAATAATAATAATAAAAAAAAAAAAAAAACAGAACCCAAGGCCTACAAATCATCCTATATATTGCAATCAGATCATGAAACTGCAGAAGCTCTTAAGTTTGACCAAACTCAAGTCACACAACATCAGGTTTTTGAGTAATTAACACCAAATCAGGCCAACTGAGGCCCTATATACAAAACCTATCTTGTTGTTTGCTTGGTAATCTCCTCCCATTTTCACAGTGAACAAGACAGGAGAAATTTTTAGCAGAGGCAATGAAAATGTGCACGTCGTCCATGCTTGTTTCATGGTTAGATATTCCTAAAGAAGATAGCAAATGTCATTCAAAATATATGAAAGCATCTACCACCTTTTGAATTGTTTAATGTTTTGGCTGCCTGTTGACCATCTTTCAAGCTACTTTGCATGCCACTGTGTCCATGAGGTTTCACGAATCCAGATTGTGTGAAATTAGGATTTGATTTCACCCTCATTGGGTTGAAATCAGGATTGAAAATTTTAGAGGCCATGGGCCTCCTCTGGCTCTGGGACGGAGATGCAATTGAGTTTGATGGAACAGATTCATTTTTTGGAGACCCTGATGACATCCTCAGGACTTCCTCCATGGAAAGGAACTTTACTTTCCCAGTTGCAACCGCCTTTTGCCTTTTGCTAGTAACATGTTTCCTTAGATCACAACACACTTTGTGGGGAATGTTTCTCTGCAGGTGATCTCTTGAAGAATCCAGAATATTTCCCCTCATACATGTCTCACAAACAAAATCACTGGCTGCTTTGATCTTCTCGAAACCAAGCTCCATGCAATAACTAAAATAGGAAATGAAGTGATCGTATTTAGAGGAAGAGGTGAAGACTATTAAAACGAACAAGTATATAGAGCAGATCATGTTAGTTTAAGATGTTATTTAAGTTAAATGCAACTCAAAAGATAAGTTGGGACTAGATTTCTATCGAAGCCATGCAGTAGGACACAACCATAAAGATAAAATAAATTAAATCCGGGACATCATGCCATATTTTAAAAAGAAAATAGTGACCAATACAATAATCATCTCATTTTTCACTTAATTAAAAACATAGGGAGGCATCTTGTGCAGCTGACTACGGAACCAGACAAGTGAAAAAAATGGAAACATGCATGCGAATGCTTATTCCACAAACAGCATATGCAACCATAAAGCTTGAAAGAGAGTCAGTGATGGTTCTCCTACATATGTTCACGAGAAATATGGCACTTAGAGCAAATTCTAATGAGATCCTCAAAGCCAACATCACCACATATCTCGCATGGTTTGACCTGTGAAGTAATAAAAGATAATAAAAATTTCTCAATGTTACTTTCAATTAAAAGAGCAAACTAAACAATTGGTTAAATTGAAAGAAAAGCCTCCGGAATTTTATCAATCAGGTAAAAGACTAACAAATATGGGATGTTAGCATTAGTACAATGCAATCAATAGGGTGATGGCCTTACTGCATTACTATACAGTTTTTAATTCAGTTTTAGATCAAGAATTGTTAGGTTAACATACATAACCATATTAAGGAGGCAATTCCAAACCCCCCCCCCCCCCCCCCCCCCTTTTTTTTTTTAACGCTGTTCTATTCTACCAGATGTCAATTGAACTCCAATATGGCACACAAACGGACTTCAGTCAAAACAAATGACCTGACTGCAGAACAACCCCACCAGTCCACCACCCATAATTTATAACAAATAAACAAGCAAAAGTAGAACACACACATCCGCAAAGGAAGAACAACTAGGTACTAGTCTCTATTTTATTCCAAGATCAAATTTTTATCATTCCCACAGCAGTCATTAATGAGAAAACATATACCAATATGCTAAAATGTAAAGCTGCCACTTTTTCAGCTGGAAGTGGGTCTGCGTTCTTCATAACATACAACAACTAACATTACCACCACATACCCAGGCAAGAAAACTAGAATGGGGTTGTTTGAGGTGATTTTACCAGGTGGGTATCACTTGGATCTTGCATTTGTGGGTGTGGTTTGTTTAATGCTCCGAGTTGTCCAGGTAAAAATGTAGTTCTCCGAGGTGATTGTACCAGGTGGGTATCGCTTGTCTCTGGCATTGTGGGTGTGGACGTCATTTTTGGTCCCCTTCTTCTTGGAGCAAGATAAAGAGGAAGCAGAAGCAAGTGGGTATTGGATTTTGACAAATGGGTACCAAGAAGAAACAATGGTTCCCCACCACCTCTTTACTCTCAAGTGTGAAGGAGGGAAAGGAAAAGACAAGGCAAAAAGGTTGATTTTTTTGGAAACTGTAACAAAGGACTCCGTGTTTAAGGCCCGTGGGTTCCTACATTTATGACAAAGAGTGGGTCGGAAAGGGATGGAAATGGAACGCCGAAATGGGGGAGACCGGGAGAGGATGGAGCCGCGTGACCCATGTTAAGCCCCCACAGCCAGAGAGTTGCCAATATTACTCCGGGGCGGTTACTACCACCAGGCAAGTTGCTAGACCCACAAAAAGTTTAAATTTTGTTGTATTTATTATTTTACCTTTTTTTTTAGCATGTTATTTTAAAAATAATATTTAAGTACTCTTCTATTTTTTAACTACAAAGAGATTAAAAAAGAGTAAAATAGTAATTACAATAACATTATTATAAAATAAAAAAGTAACAAAATAACAAAATAATTTACTGTATACTTTTTTATATACCTATTGTACAAATTTATAGATTTATATATAAGTTAAAAAAACATGTTAAAATTACATTAGTTATTAAATAAAACTATATGAGTAACATTTTAATGAAATCATAATTGGCACTTTGATAAATCTTTATAATGATTTTTAATAGAATCATAAATAACTTTATTTTTTTAAATGTTAATCTTAATATTTGAACCACTATATTTGTTTACTAGTAAATCAATCTTGAGTTATTAAAGAGTGACTGATATTAACCTTGGATGACTGATACTCATTTCTTTAAT